CCCCCCGTACCTGCTTCTACAAACTCCTGATTATTAATGAACACACCACGACTTAACTCTTCGCGGCGCTCAGTCAAGCATCACCATCATCGGAGCGTCAATTGTCAAACCATGATTCCTCTTCATTCTTTCCCCTCTCGCCATTTCCTCAATTCACTTAGCCATCCCGTCTCTAAATTCTTCACATCATACACCGAGTAATCTTCAGTCATTTGTACATTGAGCAGATCTACCAGCCCTACTAGTACTATTAACTAATCCATCCCAGTAGGGGAAAACAAAAAGAAAACCTCCAAGTCTAAGATTTTTTTTTCCATGCCGATAGAGAGAAAGAGAAAAAGGAAAGGAAGAGGTAGAAAAAAAAGACAAGAGGTAAATATAGTCCAAGATGAGCAAAGTCCCTCGTCATCTGCCCCTAAAACGCCCCTTCGCCTGATATGTGATCCCTCCCAGAGGTATACAATAAGGAAAATAGCGGGGGACACACGCCTATATACAATTGTGTCCCCACATGATGGCAATAGTAAGAATAAGAACAAAGAGAACAGTAATATTGAGGCTGGATGGTGAATGCCTCGGAGTGTTGGGATGTGGATCCTGCCGCCATGCCCTCGTGATGCAAAAAAAAAAAAAAAGGAAATGTGGTTTCGAGAGATTGTGTGTGTGTGTGTGTGTGTGTGTGTGTATGTGTGTATGTGTGTATGTGCGTGTGTGTTTGGCTGTATTTCTGTAGACGATTTGAGTTGTCCTGTTGACCCCTATCGTCGCGCGCGCGCGCGCGTGTGTGTGTGTGTGGTGACTCCCCGAGTCACATTTTCCCTTCGTACCCCGATATGCAGTGAGTGGATTCACTCCTCTTCTTCACGCTCTCCAGGCAGGTAGATCTCGTGACCGCTGCCCTCGTGCATGCCCAGAGCGGTGACGCAGCCCACGACGGACATGGCCGCTACGAGCCACCAGCCCCAGGCAACCATTCCGATGTCGAGGCCATATCCGTACCACCAGCCGCCTACCACGGGCCCGACGGTGCGGAAGCCGGCCGACACGCTCTGGCCGAGGCCGTGGATGGTGCCCAGCACGGTCGGGTGCGGGCTGCAGTTGTTGAGCAGGATGATGCTCGCGGGCAGCGTGAAGGTACGGGCCGTCACCTGCAGGAGCAGCACAACGACGATGCCGCCCCAGATGACCATGCCCGACGCCGGGGCTGGAGCCTCCGAGGTCGAAGGCAGGACGGACAGGTAGGGGGCGACGAAGTAGGCGAGCGGGAAGAGGGGCAGGAACCAGCGGAATGAGCGGATGGTTCCCAGACGGGCCTGGATAGGAGGGTACAGGGTGACCTGGAGAGTCATGCCCAGGATACCGAGGATCGAAGTGGCCACGCCGACAGTGGATGCCGGCATGCCGAGGCCGCCGGTGAACAGCATGGGGAGGTCGCGGCGCTTGGGCTGGACAGGCTCGCCGGCCGTGAGCTGGCGGGGCGTCGACAGGAAGAGTGACCAGATGTTGGTGAAGGCGCCGAGGTGGAAGTCGTAGAAGGCACCGGTGACGAGGGTGAAGACGACGTTGCGGGTCCAGAGACGGTGGAAGGGCAGGACGTCGCCCACCTTCTTGGGCTTCTCGGCACCAGCCTTGTCCAGGGTGTCGAGGGGCACAGCGTTGTCGCCGTGGCCGACGCGCGAATAGCCGCTGCGATCCCTGCCGGCGCAGTTGAAGAAGGCCCGGATACGGTCGCCGAGCTCGAGGCCCCTGTCGTGCTTGCCCTGGAGCTTGACGGAAGTCTGTTTTGGGGGTCGGAGAGGTTAGCTTGAGCTGCTGCAGGTTTCCCAGGGCAGTGAGAGGATGGGGATGTCTCTTCTATTCTGGGCTTCAAGGCAGAGAGAGACGGGAAGGAAACACACACCTCTTCCAGGAACAGATACGTGGTGGCCGTGGCCATGGAGAGGAAAAGAAAGTTGAGAAGGCAGGGCAGGGCATAGGGATAGTCGTGGATCCACCGGTATCCAAAGATGCCACCTTCACCAAAAATGCCCGGCAGGTTGGCCGAGGGGTCGGCGAGCATGCCGCCCATGATGGGGCCGAGGATACCAGCAATGTTGAAGCTCATGGGGAGGATGAGGAAGGCGCGCGACTGGTACTTCTTCTCGACAGTGATCTCGGCGATCATGGTACGAATTATACCTACGGTCCCGTTGATGATGCCGCCAAAGGCCCTCCAGAAGGCGGCCCAGAAGAAGGTGGTGGCGAAGCCGTATCCGAGGCAGGAGAGGGCGGTGCCGGCGAAGCCAATGACGAGGACCGGCTTGCGGCCGCACCAGCTGGCGTCGGCAGCCTTACCCCAGAGGATAGCCGTGAGGACCTGAGCGCCGGTGAAGCATCCCTGCAGGATACCAGCCTGCTGGGAGATCTGGGCGTCTGAGAGCGTCGGGTCGAACGACTTGAGCTGGAAGAAGACGTAGGCCTGCATCGAGGCGATCTGGAGGAAGTCGACCAGACGACCGAAGAAGAGGATGAGGAGCTGGTCCTTTCGGGGCAGCGACATCCACGTGACATTCTGGGCGCCGCGGCCTCCTCGCGAGGGCTTCTCTTGGATGGGGCTCAGAGGGCGTTGCGACTCGGCGTCTTCAGGATCATCGCGGTACAGGTCGTCGGTGGCGGCGGCCATACTGGCAGAGGCCGAGGCAGAGGCCGAGCGTCCGGCAGACAGTAGGTGGCGCTGTTGGGAGGAGAAGGTGGTGGGAGGATAGCTGTTCAGCACGCCGTCGTCGTCGTCGTCGTCGTCGACAGTGTTGGGGAAGGAGCGACGATTCTTTCTAGGTTCGAGTTTGGCAAAGTCACGGTCATTACTGAATGACCGAGCGTGCGATGGCATTGTTCGAGAAGGCCTCCGGGGGGGGGAGGGGGGTCAAAAGCAAAACCAAAAGATAAAGAATATTAAAAATAAAAAATATATAGAGACGAAAAAGGTTAAAAAAAGAAGCAGGGAGTTATGTGGGAGGGGCTAAGGAGGAGAGAGGGAGGGGCGTGTGTGTGTCAACTTCGTATTAGGTAGGAGGCTCGGCCACCACGAGGTCACGTACGACGACGGACGTACGAGAACGGCTAAGGGGTGGTGGTGGTGGGCAAGGTCGTGTGGTGTGTGTGACAGGAAGGGGGTGGTGGGTGCGGTGCTGTCAGAGCCAGAGCGGGCACTCCAGAGACTGCTCGTCGAGCAGGCCCGTACTTCTAGAATGGGTTACAGGGAGGTAGAAGAAGAAAGGAGACAGACGGCAGTGCGTTACGCAAGACTCGAGGGCAGTGCCGGGTCGTCGTAAGACCTGACGTTGAAGGGAATGGAGAGACGGGGCTTGGCAATGTACAATAGTGGCCGGAGCAGGTATTGCATCTGCAAACAAGGGATCCGTTTCGGCGGTTGCCTGGGTGGCCCACAACGGAGTAGCCGCGTACGAAAGAGGAGCGAGGGAGTGATAGCAGACGAACCAAACGAGGTTCGGTCGGGAAAGATGTGGCGGGTTTTAAACCCCGACAGCCGGATATATATGAGTGCGTTTGAAGCTAGCGGGTACGAGCAGTGAGTAGTGTTGCAATGTGGGAGGAGGAAGGAGAGCAAACAGAAATGATGGAGAGAGAAAGGATGAGTGAGAGAAAGGGAATTGAAAAAGAAGAAAAAATTAAAGAAGAAAGAAAATAAAGAAAGAAAATAAAGAGGAGACAACTGGATCGTAAGAGAAACAAGAAGAAGAAAAAGAAGAAGGGCCGAGAGCGAGAGCGAAGAGAGTGAGAGATAGGGAAAGTACCACCGACCTGGCGATTTGTGGAAGGTGCGCTAGGGAGGCAGGAGAAGGGGGGAGAAAAAGTAGGAAGGAGAGACCCGATCCAAGCGCACTACTACGGATTTCCTCGGAGCGGCCGTACATCAATCACCCTCTAAGGCTCCAAGAGTGCGCTACGTCGGTCGCTCCTTGGTGGGTCGCTTCTATCCTCTTCTTCTTCGTCTTCTTCTTCTTGTTGTAATTGTTGTTATTATCATTATTACTATTATTATTACCATCATTATTATCAGTATTAGTATCATCCTACAGAGTAATCTGTAATCTGTAATCTGTACATATAAGGAGTAAGATTATGATTGAGCAACAACCTCCACAGCCATGCATATCCGTGCACTGTGACGCTTTCCTCCCATCTAGTGGGTCGCTGCGGACGCCGTCCAGTGGGACGGCTAGGCACCGGACACCTGCTCAGCGGCTGGTCAGCGGCTGGTCAGCGGCTGGTCAGCGGCTGGCCAGTGGATGCTGCGGGTGTCTGTCTGGCGGGCAACATGTACCTGATCTCTGCAGGTGCCGCGGTGGTCCAGCATCCTCCCCCGGCTCCCACCGTCGACGATCTGTTCCCTGAAGCGGAAGATGAGGGTTTAGCGACCGGATTTCGCTGCGACGAGCCGAAGGATTGACATTGATGCGCATGGAGCCTGGCAGAGTAAATCATGGCCGGGAGGGTAATCTGCGACGTGATGCACCATTCTACCTCATTTTCGACATTACTCTCTCCTTCCTATACACGTACGGACAGCAGAACCTGATGGGAGTGCACATGGAAGTAGCAGGCTCGAGCAGATCTGCCGTCGCAAAACAGACTGGCGTATACAGGACACAGCGTGTGAGGAGGAATACCAATCGTCTTCCTCAGATCTCTCCTCCTCCTCCTCCTCCTCCTCCTCCCTTTCCGCTCTTCACACGTCTTTTCCGGGGCAGTCCCCGAGTTGCGTACGGAGTATAGGAGCGTATCGTCCCCTGAAGACGATGGACGATGCCTCTCTCCTCAGCTCCCTACCACCAGCAGAGCAATCTGCAATCCGCAATCTGCACAGCAGTGATGACCCAGGGGATCGATCAGGCTGGGGTCAGAGAGCATCATGCACGTAGCACGGATGCTCTCAGAAGACCGAATAGGCTTTGCGTAGGTCCCGTCTCGCACTGGCAGGGACATGACACGTACGTGCAGTGGATGCGAAGAACGGGTACAGGCCATAGCACTCACGTATACGTGTGCATGCGGTCATAAGAGGAGACTTGCTCTGATCAAGCTGGCAAGCAAGGAAGTGGTAATACAGATCACATGTATCCCAACTCTCTATCAATACACCAATACAATGTAATCCGTACCATCCTCACTACCAGCACCAACAGCGTCTTACCCGTAGCATTCCATCAACTTCCGTCAAGCCTCCGGTGGTACGTAAGTAACGTAACCAACCCCCCAACCCCAACCTCGACCCCAACCCCGACCCCCAATGATACTCTTCTCACCTCTGCTCATGTTAATACTGCGGGAGTGCAGATTAGACCGAAGTCGGAAACGTAGGACGCATACGTACGCAGTCGGTGATTGAGGTGGCAGGGATACGCGGCATCTCCCCCTCCCCCCCCCCCCCCCCCCCCTGCCGCGCGTCTGCACAGTGATTCGTCGTCCCCCTCCCCGGTGGCTTTTAGATGCAGGTGATGGATGTGCCAAGCAACATCTCACAACGGCACGCCGCCTCTACGGTATTTTTTTTTTCGAGTCTACGGCTCGTCGGGGAACGCATGTCTTGTGGTCTGTCGGGCCTCGGTGGCTCGGCAAGGAAGACAAGAGATGACTCGTAAGCTTTGGCTTCGGAGCATCGCATCAGTCTTTTTTTTTTCTCATCCTTTTCTTTTCCTTCTTGATACTCGTCATCTCTCCGGGTACCGGAGATGATTACCGGAGATGATTATCCTGCTGACCTCCAGGGTTGGAAATGTGTACGAGGGAGAGTACATATGCGCCGGCGTCATCGACCCCGCTGTTCGGCTGGTCGTCGGGCCCTCAATACGGTTTGCATGTCACACCACGCACGGTAACTGATTGTGATTGTCTTGCAACTACGTCAGTACCTGGCCATTCATATCGCCCAGAGTCCTACACAGCCTCGTCATGTCAAAACACGGAGGGCACAGAGAGAGAGGGAGAGAGAGAGAGGGAGGGAGAGCGAGGAAAAAGAAAGGTAAAGGGTGATATAGCATAGCACCACCCCCCCCCCCCTTCCCCTTTATCTGCATGCTTGATTGTATGCTCTCATTCCTTCTTTCTTCTTCTTCGTTTCGTCTCCTCTGATTCTATTCCCGCTGATTGGAGATTGGCTCTCTACTCTGGCTGCCCACCCCGGGCGCTTAGGATGGCGTGAGGCGTCTACAGACCAGTCTGCTGCGACGTCCCTCCCCTGCAGACGCGTCGTGAGGAGATGGGATGCAGGATTCGATACGGGGCTGACTGCCATACGGGGGCAGACATACCAGCCAGATAAGGCCTGGTGGCTCTCCTCGGATTTGATCGGATCCCCGGCGATTGACGATCGATAGACGCTGTCCACAGAACAGATACGATTCCATCTACTCTCAAGCTTCTCTTCGAGTCTGATGACGGTTCAGATAGAGGAGGAGAGGGGGTGGGGAGGGCTAGGTTGTTGTCGTATCCTGCGCGGGTAGAGCCAAGCGATTTCGAGTGAATACGAGATCGGACCCGGGAAAAGCCAAGCTCAAGGCTGGCACCGAGCCAAGACCTGGGGTGTATGTATGTATGTATGAGCACTGAGGACCTGGCCGGTACACTGTAGGGGAGTCGAGGCAGAGATAGCGGACCAGGAAGAAACTCTTGTTCCTGTCAACGACAGACCTCAAACTCGGCTGGGATTTCCGCGACAAGTGTGCGATGGAGCGTCTGTGAAGGGAAAGAGAGTGACGAGCAGGCATCGCTGACTCTCGAGATGGGGCATGTCGTCCGTCGTGTGTCTCAGCACGGGCGGCCGCGCCTCTCTCTTCGACCTCCTCCTCGCAGCAGTCGGTGTCCGATCGGCGCCGTCTTTTCAGTTGACCGCGTACGGGCCAGATAACCGGTAGTGGTATCGTCATCAATATGCGGTACTAGCAGCTGCAGACTGCGGTGATACCTAGTACCTAACTCTACGGATCCCACCCGCATGCACATACATGTCTGCCACGGTGATGCGCCGCATCGAGGATCAATACGACCAGCTCTGCCTGGATAGTTGCGGGACGTCGTTGTGTCGGTTACCTGCAGTGATGTCACCTCTCTCTCCTCTTGCAAGTTGTGGTGGCACGTTCATTGGACTCGGCCGTACTGCATGTACCGTCGTACAGGAGTGCGTTCAGAGTAAGATGATGACTCGCGGTATCCAGCTACCGCATCCGTCCGAGATGTACACGCAATACAGGTTTCGACGGGGGGGGAGGGGGGGGTACGTGCAGGAGAGGCATACCTGTACATGTATCTATCCACTCCGTACAGATTGCTGTGAGAACCGGTACCGTTGACGAGGCCCGACGCTATTCCACATCACCCCTCGCTCCCGTCTCCAATCATCCGATACAGGGGGTGGTTCAGGGGATTCAGGGGAGGGCATTCCAAGGTCGTGATAGTAGTCAACACGATGTTGTCGAGTAATATTACCTAGACTCTCCAGAGACTGCGTGGCGGGACCCATGGGAGCAATGTTTCTCCTTCTCTTCTCCTTTTCCATGCCCGTTCCCTTTGGAGCTGGATTACTTGCCGATAGGTTCTGGGCTGTCATGGTCAGGAAGAGTTGGGGGGAGGGGGGGAGAGATAGTAGTAATATTGTATATATATATATATATATATATATATATATATATATATACATATATATATTACTATGGCTAGTAAGGACAGGGAGGTCGGCTAGAGTCGATCCCTTTGGTCAGAACAACTTCCGCTACATGCCACACAGAAGAAAGAGCTAGAATACATGAAATATGAAAGAAGAGAGAGAAAAGAAGAATAAATTTAAAACAAAGAAAAAACAAAAGACAAAAACGTGAGACGGACTGTCGCCGCGCGTCGTCGCTGGTGTGTGGGTCTGCTGCATGAGAGAG